ATTACTAGAAAGTGAAAGAGGCGAAAAAAAGAAAATGAGAGGGCGATCATTTGCATAGGTCGCCTAACACCCCTCGCCTATTTCCTCGCCTATTGACCGACCTACTAGCGGATCGAACCTCCGTTTGGTGCTTTGCTAACTGGATGGATCCGGTATCTTCGCTTATTTTGGGAAGTTGACTAGGTCACGATGGCAAAAAAAGGTTGATGGGGTTTGGTCGTCCAGGTCGGTGGTTTAGGTCCGCCTTAGTAGTTTCATGGTCCCCTGGTCCCCTAGTCTGAGGAAAGTAAAGTGGAAATAGGTCCTTACCCCTGGGAGGGAAAACGGAGGAGACCCCTGGTGATTACCCAGCAAGAAGGGGCACAAAAGAAGAAGAAGAAGTGAAAGTAATAGGTACATGGAAAATTGATGGAAGGAGGTGGGATAAAAACGGTGGAAGGAGGGGCGCACTGTATTTCCCATCCGTTATTCTTTGTTTTTGTGGTGTTTCTGGATCGACATCATATGGCATGGCATAGATGGAGTAAGGGAACGGTGGATGGAAGATGGGGAGAAGGATGCATCGGGATGCAGCCAGTGCGCCCCGGCTCTTGCGGTGCCTTACGGGGGACGGATGACGTTGGGTTACGGAAGTTGCGCCCCGTGCAAGACGGGGTGTTTGGTCCGGTCCGGTCCGGCTTACAAGAGGTAGTGGTTGCTGAAGGTTGCAAGACGATAGGAGCACGCATGCAAACCCAATGAGGAATGGTGAATGGTTTTCAATATAATTTGTCCGTGGTTTCGTTGCTCTTTCATCCCGCATCCCCGGCCAGTTGATGCCGTTCTGGCCTTTGCTTGTTGGCTTGTCCGTTTGGTTTTCTCCAGAGCACCTGCTCATCCCACAGGCGTTGAGTGTGTATGTGTACATGTATCGACACTTTGTTCGAAATGTTACCTACTGGTCTGCATTCTGGTACCAAGGACCCGGCTTTCTTGTACCAAGGGTAGTTCTTGTTGTCGGGTAAGGCTTATCTCGATGCTTATTCACTTGATGCAATGTTCAAGGTAGCATCAAGGCCCTCAAGACCCTTATGACGGCTGTCTTTACTGCATCAGTTATACTCGGTATATGTACCCAACTAATTACTATGGCGACCGCCTATATCTATAGCTGATAAAATACTATACTGCGTTGGAGAGATAGTTCTTAGTGCGAGTCCGGGAAACGTAGTGAGCATTTCTTAGATTCTGGCCCTCTGATTGGTTAGATTGAAGATCTAGACAAAGTGCTGGTAGTTGTAGTTTAGTGTAGCAATTTGTATCAAGATAAGCACGCTCTACGAGCGCTGTATAGGTAGGTAGCAGTATGCTTAGCAATTCTAAATATCCCTCAACTTTATCACGCTTTACCGAATACGCCCGAAGAGTGTCTGTCGGGAAGGAACGTCTTAGGCACCCACCTGCATTTGCGTACTTTCACCTCCAGACTTGTAGTGAGGTGAGGACTTGTTCTCCTCTCCACCACTATCATATCGCCCTTCTTGACCGCGTACAACACATCTTATCATATTCGCGCTATAACAGTTGACCTTGGATATCCTACGCTTTACGTGATCCCGCCACTCGCCGTCGTGAATAGCCAAAGCGTCGCAGGGCGTCAAGCCGGACAGTCACTATCTGTGGAGCTTCTACGTTCCCAAAAACCGTCGCTTCCACGCCGTCTACCCAACAAGCAAAGGAGGTAGAATAAACACAAGTCCTCATCCGCGTCAGTTTCGCCCTTACAGTGACACTCGCCTGTAACTTCTCATCTGACTTTCCTCGTTCTCAGGTACTCGCCTGCTTTGCCCCTCCAGTCTCCCAATGACGACCCACGGTGACAGGCCCTCGCCCATCAGAAAGCTTCCGGCGGAGCTAAGAGATCGAATATGTGGGCACGTGGCTTCAGTACTGCACTCGGCTCTGCACTACAGCAGCCTTCCAGAAGATGATCCTCGGATCTTCTCTTGGACCACACGACACCGGCCCCCCGACTGCCGCATAAATCAAAAGCGTCTGCGAGCTTTGTCACTCGTTTCCAAGGACTGGTCTCACTCAGCGCAGCGTGCATTATTCGCTGTGATTCCCATAAACAGTGCTCGGTGCCTTATGACGTTGCTCAGAAGTCTGATACTCTTCCCCACAAACAGAAGATCCATTCGATGCCTGATACCAATATTCTCGCACGAATGCGATAGATTATATATGGGACGGGGCATCATCTGGGACGGTATTGGTGGGATGGTCACTTTGGCACATTTCATCGATAACTTGGGCGATATCCTGTTCACACCCATTGTGGAGGAGCTTCCAAACACCACGTTACTTCGTATCAGTCTCCTCAAGCATGTGCTCCAACCACCATTACTGGCTGCCACGAACCACACCGACCACGTCTATCGCTTCCGAGAAATCTTGAATTCGGCCTTGTGGAGTGTTGTTCACCTTTCTCCAGTGCTTAGCGCGCTGCACCTGCGTACTGTGTTGAGTTACTGCGATACACCCTTCGCGTATGGGGAGGAAATGACATATAGCGGACGCTTTCTTGAGGGCGGCCGCCCAGCCTTCAAAACTCTCAGTTTGCACACGCACACCTTCCCAAGACACGACAGACGCCGCGATTTTGAAGTCCTCGAATATGATAGCTGGATGTCATGCATTCCGACCATCAAGTACATCACGCTTCTGGGTGTAACAAACTGGTCGAATGATCACTACTTGTACGTCTCTCCGATGCAACTAGACTCTGTTTATGAATGGCTGGACAGTGTGGAACAGCTCACTTCACTTCGGCTCCTCAAAGGCTTTGATGAGGCGTTTTGCATATATGAACCTTCTGGGCCTACGCCTCCCCCTCAACACAACTGGAACTCTATTCTCACAAGACACAAAGACACGCTAGAGGAGTTGGTGTTTGATGGCTACCGCGGAATTCGGCGTCATTCAATCTCCAGAAACGAGAAGGACCTGAGACATATCACCCGCTTTGGACCTACTAAGACGTTATCTTGCTTACCAGAACTCGAAAAGTTGGCATATCTCAGGCTGCCCTTACATTTTCTCATGTCCCAGGTGGATCTCGACGCCATCAATGAAAACACCCCTCCAGAGAGTCTCCCTTCACCAAGCACAGCTCAAGAAGCCCTTGCGCTGATTGAGACCTTCTTTCCTTCCTCACTGAAAAGACTCGACATTGTCGTGTACGGATTTTACCTTGATCGGGAACGGGTTGGCGAAATCTACCCACTTAGAACAATCACCGTCAGATTTTGAGGCCAAGAGTCATATCCCCTTGTACTTGACTGCTCGGGCAGTAATATCTTTAGCCCTCTTTTATTTTACATTGATACCACACTTGTTATCATTGCCGTGTTTGAAGGAGTTATCAGTTTGGGTCTTTGATGAGAATGGCGCATCGGAATTAGTTGAACTAGACATTGCAGGGAATTCGTAATCATCGGAGGAACAAACACTGTTAGTTGAAAAATAAAGTACACTACACGCACGGGAAGTAAATTGCAGAATTTGGTGACGCACTTCCAACCTACCTGTTCTCAATTTACACAGTATGACAACAACGGAATCCTCGTAAACACTGATGATCAGTGCGGTCGAATTGCTCGTTTCTTTTCCCAAAGACCACCAGGCTGGCATTCCGTGGTGAGACCGCGGAGACTAAGTACCGCCACAGGCGCACTCGACTTCCTTTTGAACCCCTGGATTTCATCCCTTGTATCAGTGCCTTATAGCTAACGATTAAACATCGGACAAAAGACCCATACCTTTTGGGTTATGCAACTGACATTAGGTACATCGACAGCCCGCAGCTCAATAAGATCGAACAGGCGGAGATACTCAAGGACCTCAGAGGTTCATGTGTGTTTGTAGGTTGACTGCCGATATCTACCGTGGCGACAGACCAACCTGGTTGAGTAAGGGGGGAGGGCCTGGAAGAGAAGAAGTTGTCTGCACCACGACTTTTCTGCCTCATAGCTTATGCTCATCTTCCATCAACGCTGTTCACATCATACTACCTTATGGCTACTTCGTACTCGAATACTTGTCTCTATGTTCTTTCACCATCACTTCCACCACTTTGCAGGGCCGTCCGTGGTGCATATAGGTATGCATGCAGGTCCTAAATCGAGTAGGTATATCTGATTGATGAGATCCATAAGTATCGACCAGAAGCTCACTTGGCAACCCGCAAGACGCACTACTGCCATAGTCTTCCGAGCGAGCCTCCCCCTTGGGCTCCAGTCCTTATTGCAATCGGGTGTCCCATATTCAGCGTTATGATCTATTCCTAGCCAGTCATTTGACCTGTTGCCGTTGATCTTTAAACCTAGGTACCTATCGAGTGGAGAGAGGTTGGAGAGCCAGTTTCCCGGGGAGGCGATGATGGTTGCATCTAAGATCTTCAAGACACTCGATGGGATTTCCACATTGGTCGGTGTTTGGTCGAAAACATGGTCTTGTAATGCAATCATTTCCAAAGCCTTAAGGTTTTTCTGTATCAAGAGAACCAGGATGCGTTTGATTGCTGGGTCTTTGTACGTTGGAAAGAGAGGGCATTTGTTACGAATAAAACTTGCTCGCCGAAATGACAGTCGTAGAGTTGGAGGTTCCAGGAAAAAACAGGTCTGTTAGAGGCATGGAAAGAAGAAGATATGTATACTATATGCTTTGATAATTATCTCTGGGTTTTTCTTCTTTTGGGGATATTATCAATTGTATACGAAAATGGCCTGACATATTCTTTATTCATATAGGTGAACAGCCACTACACCCAACCTTTCTCTTCTCCACCTCGAATAATATCAATAAATACCAGTGAATTGCGCATCTATATCCTCTTTATAGGCCGCCATATTCAACCGAATAACTTTGAGACTCTAGCGCAACAGCCCCTTCTCATCCCCAACACCTCCCTCACCTGCTTCATCATCACCAGCAACCCACCAAACACTACTACCCCCCCCTCAATCATACTCAAACTCAACCGTCTGTCCCGCAGTAGTAAACGCATCCAGCATCACATCCCTTCCGATATCCCAAATGATGATGGTCGCGCAGCACGAGTAGTACTAGTTTCTCGTTAGCTTCCATTAATCCAAAACCCGAAGCATACGTTGCATCCCGTTCCGTGACACAGGACAAACAAAACGAAAACAGTGGAAAGTAGAAGTTCAATGACCAAAAGTAGGAAATTATGCACATACAGGCCACTCATTACACCCATTCGCGCCCTTTCCACAGATCTTCGACGAACAAGTCCGACACCCATTCCAACAGCACGTGGGGACTTCGATAGTCATCCCTTGGACGTGCTTGATGGATGTGATATCGTTTGTCGTGGTAGAGTTATTGTTCGTCGCGGATTGGTCGGCTAGTTTGTCTTTGATGTATTCTTCGATGGTTTGGGGGCTGGTAGAGTCGGGTGCGGACGTGGTGGTGGACTTGGATGTGGATGTAGACACGGATGCGGAATAGGTGCTGGATATTCTGGATGTGGAAACAGAAGTAGTGGTGTCGAGAGCGGCGGCGGAAGTGAGGGTGACTAGAGGTAGGCCGAGGGTCACGAGGGAGGTGAGGAGGGTGGAGAGGTGCATGGTTAGGTAGGTTTGGAGGTAGGTTTGGAGGCTGTGAGAGTGTTTGAGGATTGGAGACTGGAGTTGATGGAGTGAATATAATAATTGGGAAAGGAAAGTAAGTTGAGTGATGCTGAGAAAATGAAAAGGAAGTGGCGATGCTGGTCTTTAATCTTTCCTTCGTTGCGGACCTGCGAGGGATATTATACGGGTGCCTGACATAACACGAGCATCGACTCCTTCCGTGTTGGAGCGAAAGCCTATCCACTTCGGTATAGCTTCAATACGACATACTCACTACTATGTTTGGCGCTTAGCAAACACGGCATCGAGAATGCCCTGTTGACCTACCGTTATATGCAACCGTTCCGGTTTTGTCTACCCGCCTCTTTTCTGCGTTACTTTTGATCATTTAGAGCCGCTTTTATATTGTGGCTTGCGACTACAGCCAACACTGACGTCGAAGTTTGGGATGCAGACGGGTTGATGAAAGGACCAGTTGCGACAAGGCAAGGAAATGGCAAGTCATGAAACCAACAACCCGTTAACAGCATGCCATGCCAACATGGCACCCAGGGAGAATGGTTATCGGCCGGGACTTGACACGGGATCTGACTTCGGAAGATGATAACCTACCTTTATCGACCTACGACGGGATGCTAACCGTCTATGGCCCGTACTCGCAGGTGTTCATGTGTACTTGAGACACCGACAAATCCATTCCCATGTTTCTTCCGATGGATGTATTCCAATATCATCACGAAACTGAGTGAACACAACGACGTAAGGGGCAGAGGATCACAATGATAGTGATGTCCATGTGATAGTGATAGGTACTACGTTCACGGAGTGGTCTCTGTAAAGACACCTAATCAAGAGAGCGGAAGGGCAACCAGTCAAGTCGGCAGGCAGCAGCAAGAAACCACGGCTGGGGTAGGTGTGTGAGTTGTCCAGACTCCAATCCGGATTCTCTTTTCTTTCACGACACAGAGCTCGAAGAGACTATGCTGATATGTTGTAGGGAGAGTGCAGGAATTGTATCTGACCAGAGAATGGCAAATCGAAGCATGGATCCGAAGAAATCAAGCGGGAAGGGCGAGTGGAAAGAAGAGGTACCTACTCTCGATTGGCGATTTGTGAATAAAAGAACAGCAGGCACTGTTGGAAACAACCCACGGGCACACGAAGAGCAAGACCGCCCTTTGCTGCACTCCCTGTTACCGCACTTACTTCAACCGGTTCCTTCCTTCCCGCCTCATACCCACCCATCCACTCATCGAGTCCGACTCAGGCTCTCGGGACTCAAAGACGAGGTATGGACCTCCGAGTCCGAGTCCACTTTAGATCTTCCAAGTTCCTCCAACTAGAACTACGAACCACAAAAGGAACCTGAACCTCGCTGGGGTCACTACCTTACCTGAGTGAGCAAACAAAACACCCACTATGACGGAAAGAAGAGATTAATTGTGAGAAGGAGCGAGCAACTTGGGCAGACTACAGGAACCCTATCCCGCCTCATGATGCTCGGTGAGAGACAGAAATACTTACTTACTCTTTACAAGATAGAAACCTGGAACCTTGTGGAATCTGCAAGACAGAACACTTCTAACTACCCTACCTACGGTCAACATATTTCTGAGAGCAACCCATTGGAATATGACTAGGTAGGTTTCGCCAGAATGGTATAAGGTGATTGCTTTTAGCATTACTTACTTACCCAACTCAACCCCTCCTTCCTTCCTTAGTGGTACAGTCCCCGACTTCCCTAGAGTTCTCAAGCGTGCGTGAGTAAATGTTATAGGTCAAGTAGACGCGGTGGTATACGAGAAGATAAATGAAGATCAAGTCAAGTCACATTGAAGTGATAACGAAGTTTGATAAAGGTGATGATATTTTGCATGCCCTCACCCCCCCAAATCTTTCATCCAATCTAGGTATCCCCATCCGCGACCCCATCCCCATCCGCAATCCGCAATGTGCAGCCGTCCATGCAATCGATCCAAGTCGAGAAAGGTGTTAATGTGAATGATGCAAGAAGAAGAAGAAAGAAGAAGAAGAAGAAGAAGAAGAAGAAAAAGAAGTAAAGTTCCTCGTTAGATAAAAGGGTTTGCATTCAGAATGGTGTATAAACAAGATCCAACCAAGCCTTCAGAGGACTCGGTCATCATGACATACTAGGACTAAGTGCCCCAGCATCAGCCGGACTCTTCAACCCCGGACTTAGACCGCCTGTTGATGTTGTCCTCCTCAAGGCACGCAGCTCCTCCTCCAGTTTACGACGCTTGGCTAGTTCCTCCTGTGAAGTAAGTTAGTAACCAAATACTGAAATGAGAGAAATAAAAACGAAAAAGAAAACTCACCTTCATCTCCTCATTGAACCTCTTCCTCTCCTCCTTCATCGTCGCCCTAAACTGCTCACTGAGCATCGTCGCGCCCATTCTCGGACTCAACAACCCGCCGGCGGCACTACCCGCCGCGCTCAGCGCCGGACTAGGCGGTGGTCTCAGACGCTCCTTATCCAATTCTTCCTTGAGCCTGCTAATCTCCCTCTCCATCTTCTCTCTCAGTTCCGCCACTTCGCTCTCCAGCGACTCCTTGGCCTGCGTCGCGTCATCCAGCTTATGCTCCAAGTCGAGCTTCTCCTTCTCGGCGGCAATCGACTCCTTGGTGATGGCCTCAAAGTCCTTGAGCGTGCTCTCCAGCTCCATCTTCAGCTTGGCCACCTGCGCCTGCAGATCGGCCACCTCGTTCTTGTTGCTGATGGCAGCTGCGTGGGCGGCCCGCTCGGCGCGCGAGCCGTAGGCCCCGTCAAGCTCGGCCTTGGCGATGGTCATCTCCATCTTGATCTCGACGAGCATCATGTTCATGCGCTCGAGCTCCTCGTCCTTGTCCTTGATTTCCTTGCGCAAGCCCTCGACGACGTCCTCGGCGTCCTTCTGGGCCTTCTCAGCGGCGGCCTTGGCCTTGGCGGATTGCTGGAGCTGAGACTGCAGATCGACCACGTCCGCTTCCGTCTCGGCCAGGCGAGTGGAGACGTCGTTGAACTTGCTCTCGAGGTTGGCAATGACGGCGTTGCGCTCCATGAGCTTATCTTGCGTCTGCTGCGCGCCGCGCGCCATGGCGGCCTCTTCGCGTTCGGCGGTTGTGCGCTGCATGGCCTCCATTTGCTCGAGGGCGTTCTCCATCTTGTCCTTTGCTTCGAGGACGCGGGCCTCGGCATCGTCGATGAGGCCGCGCATCTTCTCGAGTTCTTCCATCTTGGCGCGGAGCTCAGCATCCTTCTCTGACCCGCTCTTGTTGTTGAGCTCGCGCTGCTGCTTGATTTGTCTTTGCAGCACAGCTTTTTGCTCCTTGAGACTGGTGGCTTGGGCATAGAGCCATTGTACCTTGGCGGAGAAGCCCTGGAGAGAGTATTGCTCGTTGGGATCGATGGCTTCGTCGCTGCCGGAAAGATATTCCTCGTCCTCCTCGTCGACGGCCAAGTTCATCTCCAGGCGCTTCTGGCGGCGAGCAGCCTTCTGGCGCTGAATCTCTGCAAAGCCGGTGTGGATGATATCCCACAGACCCATGAGGACGGCTTCGACTTGCTCGCTGTCGGATCTGTTGGCGTTATTGTTATTAGCCGTCGAGCCTTGTGTACGGCCCATCTCAACTCTGATTGTGCGTAGGATGGTCTCGAGGTAGTCGAGCTGCTCGTCCATGGATCCTTCAGAGGCCGTAGGAGGAGCCGCTGTGCCGATATCAGGAATGGTCTGCGTCAGGAAGGTGTGAGCACGCCTGTTCAAGGCCTCGATGCGCTTTTCGGCCTGGGACAGGGTGGCTGCGGAGGCATCACCGGCAAGTTCCAAGTCCCTGTTGATGGCTGCAGACCTCAGTTGCTGCTCGTGCATGGCCATGTCAAGACCGCGCTCCAGGTAGGCAAGTTGGACAGGAAGTGTTTGGCCGTTGCCGGCAGCTGGCTCAGGATCATCAAGATTAGCGTCGGCGGACGGGTTGATCTCGGTGATTACATCCCTCAGCTTGTGATTCATCATCTCCAGTCTTTGCTCGGCCTCCGCAAACAGCCTGATTTGACCGTTGATCTCGGTACGAATAGCATCGTTCTCGGCCGAGAGTTCCTGCTGTCCAGCCCTGAGCTGGTTCTCCGTCTCCCTGAGCTTCTGCTCCGCGGCCTTGAGTCTCTCGTTCTCCTCCTTGACCCGCTCCATCTCCTCCCGCAACTGGCTGGTCTGCTCACGGATTGGCGACTTTGGTGGAATTTCGAGATTCGTCAAAGCCGGCGCCGGGGTAGGAGCGAGGTTCACCGACCTCTCAGGTCCTCCTTCTGACGGGTGTAATGTCCGCCAGTCGAATCCATCATCACCACCAATGGGTTCCATGCTGATACTGTCCCGCGAATTGGTGTAGGTGTAGAGGCTTTCGGGGCTCTCGGGCATACCATTAATCATCATGGAATTGCCGAAGACCTGGCCATTGGGTGTCTGCGCATTCCTCCTTCGCGCTCCATGTGTCAACTGCAAGATGGCGGCGGTATGTTGTAGTAGGCGGCGCTGGGAGTTGAACAGCTGGTTCTCGAGCAAGGCAAGCTCGGATGAAAGCTCATTGCAAAGGCGCTCGCTATTTTGCTTCTCCACCTCGGCCTCCCTCGCGGCAGCAATGTCCTCACGGGAGCTGTGTCTCCTGTGTCCTGGGTTGTACAGGCGGGCCATGGATACGGCGGCATCGCGGTACTTTGTCTGGATCGCGAGGTTGGCGCGGGCTTGGTCGATACGTATTGTCAGGGAGCGGGTTTGTTTCTTCAGGTCATCCACCTCTTCTTGGGACAGGATCTCCCATTGCTTGCTATCACTCAAAGCGGTTTCCATCAAGAGGTGGATCTGGATAGGGTCATCCAGGTCGACAAGCGCAGAGATCCGGGGCCGGTCGGCATCGTTGACCTGTTAGGGAAGCATTCTTGTTAGCCCACAACCCAGCCTCGAATCAGTTCAAGATTCCCATCCGGTCAATCGGGTCGCTCTTACGGGAGTATACCGCGGCTTGTTGAACCCCTCGGTCATGGACCTCCCCAGGCCATGGAGGGGAGGCGGCGCCCCTTTCCTAGTCGCGGCTCCATTCATGATGATGATTATGAAGTATTAGTTTTAGATGTAGTAGGTAGCTTGTATATGCGCCTGAGGTGTCGTCGTATCAAGTATTCAAAGAGCGGGTTGTGTAGTCTGGCGTTGGTTCGGTATGCGTTCGAAGTACAACTAAGTCGTCCAAGACATTATACAAAAAAAAGGCGAGAGAGCGTGGAAAGGCGAAGACGCAAAAACAGTGAGACAGTTGAACAAATCTGTTGGTCGTGTCGTGCAAGCGAACTAGTTGGGCGGCGCCATGCAATGCCGGTGGGCTTTGTCTATGCGCGATGGCGCGAGGATGTTCGAGATGCGACTGCAATGCGGCGGGTTCAAGTTGTCCAGGCACCGGGTACGTCTCCTCCTGTATGTACGATGCAAGGGGATCGAACCAAGTGTTGGAGGCTTCGTTGGAGGAGGAAGAAGCGACGAACGGGATGGAAAGCCCCAGCGGTCGGTCGGTCGGTCGGGTCGGCCCAGGGCGGGATGATGGGTCTCTACTTTGGTTTACTGTATGTACTGTGTAGCTGGGTGGGAGGTGTTTGAGAGTTGGGTTGGAACGCCGATCCTTTCAATTGCCGTCCGGGGTTGCCAAGAGACACAGAGAGAGACGGGAGTGCTTCCTCAGGGGCTCAAAGGCGACTGACTGAGCAATGGGAAGGAATGGAGAGAAAGGCGGCAAGAAGGCAGTCCAACGAAAGAATCTCCAATGAAAGTGACGCGAAGTCCGAAATCAATCAACAAAATCAAGGGGCCAAGATGGGTAAAAGTGCCTTAATCCAGAAAGGGAAACCAATTTTATATGGAAATGGATTCGACCCGAGGACATCTCCACTTTTACGGGCGGCCTGAAGCCTGTAACCGCTATGAAGCTAGCGCTAAATTGGGCCGTACCTGCGTGGTGGGTGGGGTTCTCTTTTTCCTTCCAAGTCGCCCGTTCCTGGGCCATCGAGGTCCTCGCTCTCTTCCACACGTCGAAATGAACGACCTGACGTCTTCGGAAGTGAACAAGTGGGAACCATGGGAGATCTCATTAGCCGAGGGTTTCAGATACAAGCATCTCTATTTCTTGACAATTAAACCGGGTAGCGGATTGATTTGAATGTCGAGTAAAGAGAGACCATTCTACATGTATGCCTTGTTCTGCACAACCGTTGGTGCATATTTACAGTCGATGTTGGTCTTGATGATCAAACAACTATTCCCTTCGCTAATCGCGTTTTCACACTAGACTAGTGTATATCTGCTGAGCATTAGTTTCCCCTACAGGTACTCTGAAAATCATATACTACCACCCAAGTGGAAGCTCTTATGTGATTTGCCGAGCCCGAATTCTCCTAGCTTTCACCAAGACGGGACTTTTCTTTGTTAAATCAAGTGCACGAGGCCAAGTGTTTCTCATTGGTATCCGTCCTGACTTCTGTTCCGTCTCATCCACCTGACGCGCATCGGTAGATCGAAGTGTCTACCTCTGATGTGAGACATGACAGATCCTTGCATACCGTGTGTCTGCTGTAGTGTAAACCATCGATGTTTAATTAATTAACACAAGTATGTTCCGCAGTAAATATACCATGGTCACATTTCAAGGCTCACCTCGATGCCTGTCATAAACGTAGAATTTGGCATGATCGGCTTGGCATTCAAATAACAAAAAGCAATAACTCCTAGTACGATACCAATGCAGTATTAGAAGTGCTTCCTAGGGAATGTGGAAGGTCACATCCAGGCTGCTGCAGCTACAGGACAACTGGACGTCAAACAGGACATACCATGTTACGAACCAACGTTTGTATTATTGCTGTCCTCAGTGGCCCCAAACCACCATGACCGAACTGGAAACACCCATACTCCTCATCTTAAAAGGCCCCTCTAACCTCATCTATCAGTTGCTGACCCAACGGTCTCCTCCTGTTTCCTTCCCCCTCAGCAGCTGGCTGCGCACCCGTAGCCACACCAGTAGATGCCCCTTCATCCTCCAGTCTCCTCCGAATCCCATCAAACCTGTCGTTCCTCTTTTGGGCGCGAAGACCGACCACCCACCCCGGAACCCGCCAGCGCGCAACCGCCGCAGGCAAGAGATCGTTGCGCCACAAATAACCCACTGCCCAACCAATCACCGCACCGAGGAGAGAGCCGGGCCACTGGAAGAGGGCCAGCTGCAAGGCCATGAGATACCGCGTCGACTTGTCCGAGAAGATGAACCCGCTGGTGTCGTCGCTGGCGTTGGATGGCGTGTTGGCGGATAAGGCGACCTTGTACTTGTAGATCTGCGGGATCATGGCGTGGTACTGCGCGAGAATGGCAAAGAGAATCGGTGTCGGTCCGGCGGGTATGTAGTCCAGGACGCCGAAGGAGAGCGGTCGTAGGACGACAGTGAGGAAGATGGGCGGGATAATGGCTGTGAAGAGTCCGGCTAGGAGGATGAAGGACTGTTTTGCGATGGTGAGTATCACTGACTGTCTCTGCCTTAAGGGGGACAAAGGTACTCACGACATATTTCCTGGAGCCCCAAAACCGCTCTACCATTCTCATGTGATAAAGGGACATGGCTCCAAAGAGCACCTCGGATGAGTTGGTGTAGCATAGTTGGTACGTCAACATGCGCCATAGTTGTCCGTAGCGGAGGAAGTGAGTGCCAATTGAGATGTAGAAGTAGTGTTTGATGTCAAAGACGCTGGCGGCGATGGAGAGCCCAACCAGGCCCAAGACCAGTGCCTTGGTTACTGGCGCGTCGGTGAAGGACATGATTGTGTTTTGTTTTTTTGTTCGGACTGGTCTCTATGCACTTTTGGTTCTCACAGACAATCAAGACTGCCCAACGTGAAGAGGAAACTCGGTTGCTGAGATGGCTCTTCTGCCAAGCTCAAGAGATGAAGAGGAAACCGTACGTCTGTATGTACTTTCCCCCTTTTGGATGTCCCGTCTCTGGGATCGCGGAAATCAGGTGTACATATGAGAATCGTTGGCCGAAACACTTGTCCAGATGCGCCGGGCAATCAGGGCAGTGGTGTTCAGGTTTGAAATAAAAAGGTGAATTTCCCGGCTGGAGGTGTCAAAGTTGATTGGAAGGTTATCGTCGGCCATCACGGTTCCTGGCCAAGACCTGCCGATGACATGTGTCCCGAGAATTAAAGGTGGGGCCACGGGCGGACATCGGGCAACCCTGCCTGCCACGGCCCACGGGAAATGGAAGGAAAATGATAGGACCACAACGAATAGAAAGGAAGCCTCGGAGTGGCATTCTCACCACTGTGAGTGCAGTTATTCAGTGTCAGTCAACAGCTATCATATTACCCGACTGACCTCCACACAGCTGTGCTTGGTGAGTATCCTTCGACACTGCACGATTGCATCTTTACACATTGCTGTGCTTTTAGGTTGCGGGTTTATTACCTAGTTTACACCCTGCTCATTGCATACTGTATTGGCCCTCTTTTTCTCCAACTCTTGGCTGCCCATCGTCGATCCGGCGCTAGAGTCCAAAAAAAAGTTACTCTTAAGTTTCAATTCCAACATCCACTTCGGGCTTTCAGTTGGAGGCTGATCCCGTCCAACCTCGGGGTCTCCACGCCCTCTTCTCAACCACCACCCCCCCCCCCCCCCCCCCCCTCCCATATTCATAACGACTCGGCCACTTGGCATCGCTGCCTCTCCCGGTCCTTGTGTGTGCGGTAATTCGGCATCATGTCTGATCTCTATCTCTCCCGCATCCGTAACTGGTTCCTCAGTTCGCCCCCGGCAGAATGGGCTATCAGGGGACTCCGCGAGACCCTTATCGGCGCCTTGAAGCAGGGTCCCGTCCCTCGCCATGTGGCTTTTGTTATGGACGGTAATCGGAGATATGCCCGGAGCCACAAGATCGAGACTATCGAGGGCCACCATCTCGGCTTCGAGGCTCTTGCGAGGGTACGTTCCTACACGGGGTTCCTGCTAATGGGGCCAATGCTGACTGACATGTGATTGTCTCAGGTCCTCGAGATATGCTACAAGTGCGGTGTCGAGGTGGTGACAGTGTATGCATTCAGCATCGAGAACTTCAACCGCCCAAAATACGAGGTCGATGGCCTGATGCAGCTTGCCAAGGTCAAGCTGGAGCAACTGATTCAACACGGCGAACTGCTCGAGCGATACGGCGCCAGTGTTCGCGTGCTGGGTGAGCGTGATCTTCTGAGCGATGATGTGCTCGAGGTGATTGACCGAGCTGTTTCTACAACCAAGAACAACAAAAAGTACGCATGTCTCGTTATCCTGCCCCTAATCGGTTCAGGTACGGGTTAGCTGACCAAGGCCTTATAGGTGCATCTTGAATATTTGCTTCCCATACACGTCGCGAGAGGAAATGACGACCGCCATCCGTTCCACGGTCGAGGAATATTCGAAATCATCAGCCCCGAAGCGCACGCCCTTCTCGCAGACGCGTATTACACAAAAGATTATGTCGAAGCAGGGAGACAGGAGTGGGAAGATGGACAGTGACAACACATCTTTGGGACAAGAGCCGTCGCACACCCCACCCGGGTCGGACGATAACGAAGACTCCATGTCATCCACCACGACGCTATACCCCGATTCCCCGGGCCGTACTTCCAAGGACGGCTCCAACCACGTTACCATATACCCCAATGTCGAGAACATCACGACCGAGACGATCGACAAACACCTGTACACGGCCGACTGCCCACCGCTAGACATTTTTGTGCGGACTAGTGGGGTGGAGAGATTGAGCGACTTTATGCTGTGGCAGTGCCACCAAGATACCCAAATGTTTTTCCTCAAGTGTTTCTGGCCCGAGTTTGACCTGCGGCATTTCCTCCCTGTTTTGCTGGAATGGCAATGGCGGCAGAAGAAGAAGGCGATGGAGGAGGGGCCTCGACAGCGGGTCAAGACGGCCTGAATGGCGCCGGTTGATACCCCAAAGTTATGTCAAAGTGTTGAAGCGAGCAGAAAGAGTTCAGAGTCGATTTCTCCTTCTTAGATATGATAGCAGCAAGCATACAGAATTATCGAGGGCCGCCCTCCTTCACATGTTAGGGCTTGAAAGGAGGGAGGGCTGAAGAATTTATGACCGGTTTCACGTCTGCGTCTTTCGCACCACTGCCCGCATAAATATATCCAGAAAGTTGAATCACGAAACCAAGCATGTCATGTCCTGCAACCCGCCCCAACATGCGCCCGATAACGGACATGAAGTGCACAAAGATTTTTGGCGACAAGGACAATTGAACGAACTTGGTCACTCTGAACGAAACAGGCGGGTAGATTCGATGCAAATCCAACTATAGCCCATCTCTGCTAACCGAATTCCCACATGGATGTAGCAGCTCGTCGGTAGGCCTTCGTGGTCGACCTCAATGGCTCGGCGCAATTAAGACAAAGTCCTTATCTTATCGCATCCTCGTCTGCTGCCAGTGACGTACGTATCAGAGGTCTCGAAAATTTGGAGTCAGCCAATTGGAGGGCGCGCTCAGTCCATTTAAGTTGGGTCCTCGGGGAACACAAAACCTTGCCGGCCGGCAAAGAGGAAGGAACCTAAAGCTCGAAGAGATAATCTACGTACCAAATATCAGGTAGACAGTGACATGACAGTGGCAGCAAGTCCCGGGTTGTAACCTGTGTACCTTGGGAGGTGATATCATGGCAGCTTTTATTCGGGTTGGTTAAGATGCGATTGTGAGCGCGTCGGTGGTGGATGGTTGGGTGCCGCGAGGTCCAGCGGCACTGCGGCACGGCAGTGGATAAGCAGGTAGGATGCTTCAGCGCAAGAGAGAGCACACTGTCTGTCACTCACAGGGCAGCACTGCAGTGGAAGTCCGCCCAAGAGAAAGTCTGGGCAACCCGCAGGCATTCAGTCCCGAACCCAAGCGGAGGTCCGGTGGAAAGTCTCTCTTCCCACCCACACACCCACACACACAGCCGACTACGGCCACCCTGACCTCCCCATCCTCTTTTCTGTCCTGATTCTGTCCCCCAGGACTAGAGGTAGTTAAACGCCCACGCATTTTACTACTCGACGAGATACCCACGGCGACATGTTCTGACACCTCTTTTTCTTTCCAACCACGTATTTCCTGGACAGCAGTAACCAACAATCTCGCCGCCGTACTGCTGCTACCTGACTCTTCTTCGTCCCCGAGGCCTTTGGACACGAGCTGGAAGCGCCGCCACGAATCTGTGGGAGCAAGCAAGGAAAAGCAGAGTCGGATCCAGCCCTACTCGTGTGCTTTGACGCTCTATACCCCTCGTCTTCTTGTTGTCTCGTTCTACTCCCCCACCTAATAGCTCTTGTTTATTGTCCATCCACGCGCGTCAGCCACCAGACCTCTCCTCTACCGACCATGAAGACGGCTAAACCTCCGGCGGCCGAGGCACCCTCGGGGCCATCTGGCTCGAATCGCAGAGCGCAGCCCGTACGACAGACGCGAATCAACCCGCCGCGAACCTCGTCCCTCAATCGAACCAACTCGTTCCCCAACGGCCCAGCCCCAGAGCAGCCCATCGACATCTTCCCCGCCGTCACCCACTTCACCGATGCCATTACCGCCCTACCAAAAGAGCTTGTGCGGCACTTCACCCTCCTCAAGGAGGTCGATGCCAAGATCTTTGCTCCTGAAGCTACCCTCTTCGAGCTCGTCGATGCTGCTCTCAAGGCTCCCGTGCCAGACCGCACCCGATCGGTCACCGATGGCAATAGCAGTGTTGCGCCAGCTTCAACACCCATGAGTGCCCAGAACAGCACCAGCGGGCGGGTGGCCGCGAACGCGAACCCCGCCACAGTACCGCCATCGATCACCGACTCGGCTCATGCCGCCGTCTTCGACCCTACCAATCTACCGCGTCGGCACCTATTTAGACAGGCCGCCTGGAAAATACAAGAAATGCTTGTTTCGCTCGAAGAAAAGAACCACGTCATATCCACCGCGAACGACGCCCTCAACAAGCAGCTGTCGCGCATTGAGGAGATTTGGCCACACCTGGAAAATGAATTCAGCGACGAGGCCAAATGGGGCAGCACTACACATTGGGCATACGCTGAGAACCGGGTTCCCAAGACCAACCACAAGGAAGCGGAGCGATCACGACGCGAAGGCGCGGCTACTCTTTCTGCCGCTGCACAACAGATAGCTGAAGAAGCCGCTGCGCGCAGTAGCGACAGGAAACAGGCGTTGGCAGCGAAAAAGAACAACAAAGGACAGGCCACTGAACCAGAGGCAGATCCAAAAGCACAGGAAACCACCAAGAAGGGCCCAGGGACCGGCAAATCCAGAAAACACCAGGCCGAGGCCACCCCCGTCGGACTCGGAATCGCCAATGGCACCCCGAATAATGGAACCGGACCATCCAAGAGACGAAAGGTTGAAAAGGAACCCAAGGCCAACGGAAGTGCCGCCATGGAGCGTGCCATGAGCAGCGTCTTCGGTAACGGAACGGCAAAATCCAAGACAACGGCGAGTCCCCGGGGATCCCCAGCGCCCGATGGAGCCACCCCAACTGGACCTACTACGAAGAAGCGCAAGGCGCTCCCGTCGGGAAGCACCCAGGCCAAAAAAAGGTATGTTTACAGCAACCCTATTTCGTCTACATTGGCACGACATACTAACCACTGTGCTATAGCAGGACAAATGCCGCCAATTCACCGTCGGTGGCGGCATCTCCCCTTCTAGGGTCTCTTCCTGATACCAAGGCCGGGCGCAACTCTCCAGTGCCCCTTCCTCCTCGTCCAGCTTCGTCGCGCGCACGTCAGAACTCGACCGCATCTACCACCCTCCCTATACAGCAACGACCTGCGACTGCCGCTACAAACAAGCCCAATGGCATCACGCCAGCAGTGGTGGAAGCTGTGCCACAGAGCAAGTTAACTTCAGATGCGAAGGCACCAAAGGAAGCCGATCCACCTGCTCCTACACCTGCCAAGAGCGAGGCTGCGAAGCCAGAGACAGAGATCAAGCCTCCTGTCCCACCAGAGCCGGTAGCCAATGCTAGCACAACCAAGAAAGAAAATAGCAAGGCGGTGACTGCCCCCGCCGAAGAGCCGGAAACTAAGAAAAGAACGAATTCGATAGTGTCACAGACAGCGATACTACCTCCGCCAATAAGTACTACTATCACAACCACCAAGAGCGGTCGCGCGAGCAAGCCGTCAACACCAGCGACAGGGACCTTTGCGGAGGCTGTCAATGCAACCACAACGACTGCGAGGTCACGGCCATCAAGGAATAACACCAATCAATCGGACAAAGATAGCAACAGCACTAGTGGAAAGGATACCTTTGGTAATAGCACCACCAGCACGACGTCAGGAACAACGATATCGAAGCGGAGCCACAAGAAGGGTGCGTCGTCGGTATCGGCCGTGGCCGTCTCCGCTGCCCTACAAGATGAGAAGCCAGGCAAGTCGGCCGCGGCTTCGGATGACAAGAAGGACGCCAGCGATGAGAACAACGGCCGGCCCACCACCAGCGGCCGAGGGAAGAGTGGTGCCGCCCATCGCGACAGCAAAGCTGAAAGAGCCTCAGAAAGAGACCGAGGCGGTGAGCGCGACACGAAGACGGAAACTAACCACGGCCATGGTCACGGAAGGAGAGGTACCGCTACCGCAGCTGCTGCCAGGGCTCAACAACAGCAACCCCAGCATCAACAACGGCAGGAGGAAGAGGACGATGATGACGATGATGATGTCGACGCTGACGAGCAGAGGTACTGCTTTTGCAACGGAATCAGCTATGGAGAAATGGTGGCGTGCGACGGGGACGGGTGTCCGAGGGAGTGGTTCCATTTGGAGTGTGTTGGGTTGAAGGTGGCTCCCAAGGGGAATGGTGAGTTCTTTTCTTTGTCCCTCTCTTTGCCATTGTCTGTTTGTTTGTTCCTTTAGAAAACACGATCGCTAACTCAAACGTGACAAAAACAGCGAAATGGTATTGCGAGGATTGCAAGAAGAGGTTACGCGCTTCGGGGAGGTGAAGAGCCTCGCGGGCACAGCCACCTTGTTCTAGTTGGCGGCGAGCGGTGTCCATCCAGGGGCATATTTCTTGCGAAAGTACGAAGGAGAAAACTCAGAAATGATTACAGTACATGACTTAATCGGGCGAGATCCCGCACGAACAGGGATGGTGAATAAAATGGCGTCGATGGATATCATGAGCGAACGGGCGGACGGACGAACGGCATGTTTGGATCGTAGCTTTTGTTGTGCTGACGACGATCGATCGATCGATCTGTTTCATCCGTCCCAATGTATAGATGGTGTATGCGATGCTAGAATGGGCCGGGACACTTTTACTGTATAGTCTCTTTCTTTGCACATACTATTCAGTCTTTTCAACCTGATGATCTTTTTTTTTTTTTTTGTTGGATCTTACTAGGCTGCATTGTGATTGAGAATGTAGTGTACTAAGCTTGAACTGAATCCACGGCGTCGAAAACCTCTTTCAACATCTTACATCTTTCCCTCTTCTTCTGTATTTTGATTTGGCCATCAACGTCCATGTCCCTTCTTCCGTTTCCATGAAATTCATCCCAAGCAGTTCATACTACCAAATGTTAGTTGCAAGCTGGTTCCCCATTCTTCACTCGACAGCCGAGAAAATCCGCGCCCATCCACCCGGGAAGGAAAAATAAGGAAGGGCATACGAAGCACCAGACAGGTATCAATCTATCAAGAAAGCTTGTTTGATGTTCATACAACCCCAACTATGTAACTCAATGCGTTCTCTAGCATAGCATACCCGCCTACTGTAGTAAAGCCGCAGAGAAGCAAAACGCAGTGATATTCTCTATCTAGGTATACGACTTTCCCCTCACTTTCCCCTACTCTGTGAATAAGAAAATATTATGTAACGAGAACCACTTCACTCGGGGACTTGAACTAACCCTGTGTGACCTGTATGTAACTTGGATGACTTTCTTTCAACTCGCAGCATCTAGGGTATGTACACTATTTCATTTCGGTAATCTTTGCACATATGTACCAACTACTGAACCGATGTATATGTATACTCTCTCTATACCTACCTGAGGCAGGTTTCTGCCAAAGTCAGTCGTACCTGCATGCATAAAGGCCATCCACCGCTGGCTGGCTGGCTGCATCACGGAATCTTTCTTTCCGTCGTCGTCGTCGATTTCACTTGTTTCGTTTCAAAGAACTAAACTGAACTTGTGTACCTCTGACATTCTTCCACTTCAGTCCAGTTCCGGTTCCAGTCCAGGTACATACACACTTACACGTGTTCGTTCTTCATGACTTGATCGTCGTCGTCGTCGAGGATTTGCTTTCCTTCCTTCCTAATTTCCTTCCTTCCCCTCTCACATGTTATGTCACCTCACATCAGATCACATCCACTTCCCCCTCTCTCTTTCCCCCTGGCAGCCAGGTTCCATCAACGGAAGGTGTCAGTTCCATTGATAGACGGAATGGAATGGTACATTGCCGGTGCCGGTTGAAAGCTTGGACGAAAGCTTGAATGATCGCTTGAAAGCTTGAAAGCTTAACGGCCATGTACTACTGTATGTCGATCTTAAACTCGTCTGATCGTCTGAACAAATGGTACGTTGGGGTTACATAGGTAGCTCGGTAGGTTGGCGGCAACGGCTCGCTCGCTCGCTCGCTCGCTTTACATGTACGAGTTTGGAATCTCGATGAGAAGCTGCCGCTCAAGTACGGGAGACGGACGGATATCGGATCGGGTCGGGAATATGAGTGTTAGGGTGTATTTGGTATAGAAGGTAGGTAGGTATGTAGGTAGCTGGGTAGGTAGGGAAAAGAGGGAAAAAGAGAGATGAATGTCTGGAGGTCGAGGCAGTAAGTAGCACCACACCACATTTGGCTATGTAGCAAAACATCGCCAGCTAGCAGCAGGTGAACATATCCTTCACTTTTTGTTTCTGTTTTCCCTGTTGATTTGTTCTCATCCTTTGCATTCCTGAACAACCTCAAAGTGTAAAGTGTTCCTAGCTAAGCTGCCTAGTACCTACCTAGCCAAGAAGGGGAAGCAACTAAAGCGAAGACGCGCGGCCAATGGAGCGAATTCCTGGTTGTCTTCATCCTTTTGTTCTTCTTTTTCTTGTTAGCCCTCGGGGGTTTCAGTAAGAGACAGCAGCAACACGAGGGGAAGAAAAACCGTTGGTCGATTTTTTTTTTTTTTTTTTTTTTTTTCTCTTTTCTTCTTCTTGACACAAGATGGATGCACAAGATCCTCAACCTGGCACTTTTGGAACAACTTCACACAAGCTTTAGATCAAATTTATATACACTACTACCATCCGTCCCCTTTTCTTTATTATTTCTCTCTCTTCCTTTTTACAATAACTGCCCCCCTGTTTTCATGGCGTTTTTGGCGGCGTGCTGTCGTTGGCTAAAAAAAAAAAAAAAAAAAAAAAAAAAAAAAAAAAAAAAGTTGTTCGGTTGACGCGGCGGGTGACACTGGACGGGAGGGGGGACGGATGCGACTGCGAGCGAGCGAAGGGAAGGGAAGGGTTGGGAGGGAGCGATGATCTGGCCAAGACTTTTAGGAACTGCCCGAAAACCTGGGGTAAAGTGAACTTGGGGGAGACGGACGCCCGGTCTGGACGTCTTGGCTTTGACTTCTCTCTTTTATTCTGTCTGCCTGTCTGTCTGCAACGCTTATATTGTATTGTATTGTGTTGACTGCACTGCCGGGAAGCTTTTTCTCGCTGGGTTTTATGTTGGCTTGTCTGCAGGAAGGGATTCGGACATCCATTCGGCGAGTGAATACTTGACAACAAAAGTGGTGAACCTGGCAAAGGCTGACTGGCAAAGCAGCACTGCACTGTTAGAACGACATGGTCAACGTCAACGTAACCCAGTATTACGTGCTGAATGTGCTCTTCCAGAATCCATCCATCTACATATATCGCCCAGCACGCAATCCCGCATTATTTCCACGTTGTCAAAGTAGTGTATTATGAAGAACGTTAAAGGTCAGACGTCAGCTCCGCGGAGATGGCAAAAGGGGAAAGGTCGCACGGAGTATGTAAACTGCAAATGTTGTGTAATGTGTGGTGTTTGTTGGCGACTTGGATGTGTTTGTGCAATGATGACTATTACCACCTTGTTGATGTGATGGACAGACTTGTCCCGGGCACACTTGGTACTTTCTTGTTCCTTCCACGCACATATTCTTGGTATACGTTGCTGTTTTCCCCCTTTTTTATGCAAGCTGTGTGTGGTCCCGTCGAGGTTCTCCCCCAATTGATATGCGGGGAAAGGGGAGACTGAGGCTACAGTACGACAAGCACAAGGAAAGACACGCAGCAAGTCAAGACAGGGTTAGCTCGGGGCGGCAGGAAGCGGCTCCCCGGATTGGAGAAGACGGTGACATGGGGGGAATTTGGGGAATCAACCAGAAGAGTGTGCAATCCAATGGTTGGTGCGCCGGGTGGTTCGTTATGGGTATAAAGCAACGGTGTGGATTGGTCTGTCTAGCTAACTAACGGTTTACAACCGTGATCCTGAACTAAATACTGCGAGTGATGGTCTGTGCGCCAAAGCGCACCTTCCAAGTGGCTTGTTCTCAGCAAATACAAGCGAGAACTTGCGGTGCGAATGATCAGGTGCACGTGAACAATTCTGAGCCTCTCTGGGATTGTTGAATGCTGCAACCTCTGGACCGCACCACTCCAATTGCTTGGCATCACCTCATCAATCCCGTCGTCTCCCAGTAGGTAGTCTGCTAGCAGGATCATTCCATTTCAACGCTTCAAGTTTTGGCACTGCTCAAGCGTCTTGTTATCTTCTTGGGGTGATCATCTCTGATGGCCGGCTGGTTGAGATTGACTCTTCTCCCCACTGTCGTTGATCTTCTGGTCAGTCACCTTGTCTTCCGATGGAGAGTTTGATTGGTCCATCTAGAAAAGAGCTAGAGAGATCCGCCGACAACGGCGTGGAGTCGATCTCTCAAAGGGTGCAGAAAGGGGTCCAAAGCGGCGTGTGTGTAGTGTACATGTGTAGTCGCCAGGCCCCTTGTTGCTCCCCATGTCAAGTAGTCATTTGCCAAAAGCTTATAATTGCTGATTCAATTGCTTGTCGTGTCTGGGGAATCCGTAGTGTCCAAGAAATATGATATAAGGGGCTGCCCGTCGAGACGTACGTACTTGTGAGAAAGCGATTTCGACCCTTTCCAAAGAGCGACAGTTCGGAAGTTGGTCACGTCAGCCAAGGGTCGTATCAGCCGCAGATCGCCAAAGCATCGTCGGAGGTGGCCAAGACAAGATAAGAGAATGATTCAAAAATGTATCGTGAATTCGGTGCTCTTCATCCCAGTCGATATGTTTGTTGTCCCTTTGATGTCGCGGCTGTCATTCCGTCGGTGGAGAAGGTCGCTCTCAGTCTCGCCTCCAACCCACCACCCATTACGTACGAATACGTCTCTTTCAGTTGGTATTGTACGGCATGTACTTTACCGTTGGCGAACCTGGCCAGCCACCAACCCACCAGTCCACCAGAGAGCACCCATTGGCAGCCAGCCATTCTTGTCAACCACTGCCACTTCACACTGGTGATACTACTTGGGTATGTCATGGAAACTTGGATATTTTGGGTTATCTGCAGTTGACCAACATTGAAGCGATCCGTCCCTGCGTATCTCTTGGTACGTCTTTTCGAAACTGGAATCAATTGAACGATCGATGGCCAAAAAAATGATCCAAGAAGCAGTTACTCGATTTGGACGTTTGGTGGGCGATATCCGGCTCTGGTTGGTCCGTTTCGCGTCTCCGGTAGGTCACTGATGCTGCAAGATCAACCAAGCCCAAGATACTACCCGATTACTCTGGAGTGACTGAACCGGGCATCTGTCAACCGAAGCTCTGATAAGTAGCAAGAAGGCGGGACAGATGAGGCAAAAATGAGAAATTCCTAGTGTACATCGCTGGCAGCCCTGGTCCCTGATGGCTATCACCAGTTCGTGTGGGAAAACGTCTTGGCTTCAGTTGTGACCCAGTTTCCACCGCGTTTCCATCTTCCGTACGTCTGAGTGGTAGAAAAGTCCATTGGCATCATCAGAAACCTAATCCATCGACCACTTCTTTTTTTCTGTAGCGGCGATGGACCCCACTGTCAATCCGTCTCCCCTTCGACATTAGCCCATTTTAACTGGGGCCTTCCAGGATGTGTCCATAACTGCCAACTGAATGAAGGGTTTCTGCGTTCTGCAGAGGCACAGAGGGTGGACTGGACT